GCCCTTTATATTTAAATACTTTATATGTACATCGAGGGGACCCTCTCTACGGAGGCTGCCATGTTTTTTTACATTAGTCCAGACTGGACAAACTAAACACCTTTTGAGTTTTTATGACAACTGAAGCTGCCAGAGGTTGTTTTTCATGTTTGGAAGGAGAGGGTGAGGTGAGAGGTGTTCAGCTGCAACATGACACTTCAACACTAGATGTCACAAACTTCTTCACACTGTACCTTTAAATGAGACAATGGTTAAGTTTTCTTCACCGGTACAATAAATGCAGAGTCATAGAATAAACAGGGAAGTAACAGTTTAAATGTTTTATCTAGAATACAGATGGACCCGTGGACTCATGGCCCTCGTGATTTCAAAATCAGAGGTATAACCTTTTATAGTTGACATTCATCTGTGTTAGAGCCTACATATCTATAACTATTTGTATATCAGTCGAAATCAAAAATTATTAATGTCACATTAGTATCTCTAAGTGACAGAATGACAAACTCTTGATCAAATTAATGTTGGTGAGCATTATACTGAGATAATTATTGCTATTGTTTAAGCCCTAAATATCATATGGAACCAATTACAGTTGAAGGATAAATGAAACATGACATTTGCTGAAAATGATTCAATATCTACACACAATTGGGTGAGTTTATTTCTTAATTCACATAGAGAAGAATAAGAAGATGATTTACAAGCATTCCTATAACACTGTTTCTTTTTCAGTGCCATGCAAAGTGTAGAATTAATTAAAAAACTTATGGTAAATATAGATTTTTTTAAAACACAGCATCTGGCTTACACAAATGCATATAGTTTTGTTGGAAATTCAGCTTTATTAGATTTTAGGTCAAAATAAAAACACTTCTGTAATACACTCCTGTATAAAACTTCACCTGGACTCTTTTCTATTCTCCAGTCAAAAGTCCACAAGCTTTATGGCCTCTGTCACAACAAATGCAGTGAAATTACAGTTTTATGAGCTGCTAGTAAAGTAATTCACATCTTTCAACACAGTTTTACAATCGCCAAAGTGATTTGGCTCCTAACCACACACAAAATAAAACAATCTCAAAGGATTGTATTTTAAATGTACCTGTATACGATCAGGTGCTTTTTAACATTTACAGTAGAATCGCAGCATTTGTCTGAAAATCACGAACTATAAAACAATCAATGGATACCATCTGACACTGTACACAGGACGAGACACTTCACAGGAAACACAGAACCAGTTTGACATGATCGTCACATTCCACTAACAGTTGGTTTCATACGCTTGAAGGAAAGGTTGACCGTCGTCTCTGGGTAAAGACAGACACAAGCACCCATCTGCATTTGGAAGCACGTCTGCTTGTCTCTGGAGCTGTAGCCGGCCTAGAAAAAATATATATGTTTAATTTAATAATGATTCTTATCAGTCACAACAAAGTCATAAACATGTCAGCAGGGGAAAGGTTTTTCAGTCTTTCACTTTTATGAGTGGTTGGGGCCTAGATATGGATCTGGGATGTGGCTTGTATCTGGGGCACAGATGTTTGTGTTGTACTGAATCAACATGGCGTCTCACTTTTTCTTCCAGAGTGAGCATTACTTACACGAGTCGTGCTCAGGCTCGGAGGGAGGCTGCATGCACACAGGAGGGCAGTCTCCGAACATGATCTGCATCACCTGCAGGAGGCTCACGAGGTCACACTCACCCTGACAGGAAGAAAGGAACAATCAAAGCAGTGTAGCAGTGCCAGAAACTGTCATTCCATAAACCTGATCCCATTGTCTGTTTCTGTCTTTCTTTACAGAAATGCAGCTCTGTGAAGGAATAAAAGATAATGTTTCGGTTCTCACACTCTTCCACTCCTCCAGGTAAGGCAGCTCCACTTCTCCGTTGCTGGAGGTGTAGTTTCCTTTGAGGATCATCATCTCACGTGTGGGCCTGATGTAGCAGATAGGTGCAGTCTGCGGGTAGCTCTCCTCAATCCACAGGCACACGGGTATGTTGTAGATCTTGTCTTGTACAACAACAAGGGAAAGTTGTTTTTTTACTTTGCATATCTTTGCGAATGGTTTGCAATTGATCTCATTTTCATATCTGACTTCTCTTGCTAGTGTTTGTTTTGCTTAAATGAATTGTAATTTTTTTTTTGCTCACATTGGTCCCCTGCAT